TCTGATCCTGATAAAGTAATAATATTTTATTATATCTTTAAAAAGTTTTATTATTTTTAAATGAATAATTTTTTTTTAAGGATACAATGGGCTGGGGAGAAAATGACAGAGGTGTTTCATTCACATTTGGTGCCGAGGTTGTGACTAAATTTTTGCATAAACATGATTTCGATCTCATATGTAGGGCTCACCAGGTTTGTAAATATTTAAATAAAATTAATATTGTTAGTTAATTTTTTAATTTTATTTTTAGGTTGTAGAAGATGGTTATGAATTCTTTGCAAAGCGTCAGTTGGTCACTTTATTTTCAGCTCCAAATTATTGTGGAGAGTTTGACAATGCTGGAGCAATGATGTCTGTTGATGAAACTCTAATGTGCTCATTCCAGATTTTAAAGGTATGATTCCTATTAAATTGATTTCATAAAATTTGAGTTTAAAATTAAATATTATTAGCTTTAGTAAGGAATATAGCTGTGTTAGTGTGAGTTTGGTTAGAATATTATGTATTTTTAATTGATTAAAATAGTATACACAAACATAATTTTATCTAATAAAGAAAACTAAATTTTTTTTACTTATATTATACTAACAAGTATTATATGAATATAAAATATTTAATTCAAGAAACTTACACGGTTTTAGGGGTTTTGATTTTAATTCTAATTGAAGGAACTTATTTGTCAACACATCAATAATATATTTTTAGTATAATTTTATGCAATTTTTATTTCCAACTTAAAATAAAATGTAATTTTTCTGCTTTTAATTAATGTAAAATGAATTGAGAGTTCAAATTAAAAAATAATATTTAAACTTGTTTTATTTGTTTTAAAGACTGATAGATTCAAATACTGGAGACGCATAAAATTCTATGATGCTAATGCATCTTTTCCATTGTCTAATTAGTAAGTCTGAATGGGCAGTCTTTTAAACCTTTTCCTATAGCTGTTCATATTTATTTTCTTATAGACCTAATTTTTTAACTGCACGAATTATAAGAGCAGTCCCAAGTCATCTGAGTATGCCAATTCCTACCTTTAATTATTAATTTAAATGTTTAATTAACATATATTCATACAGATTTCAGGCTAAAGCCTGGTATTAATTAATAAAGTGGTTTATAAAATTAGCATGGTTAGTGTTAATTGATATTTTATTCGATGTGTGGTTCTTGAAATGTTTAGAAATATTTGCTTGTTAAATTGACTATTTACATAATGTTGGAAATTGGCCCATTATTAAAAAAAAAAAAAAAAAAAACTTGTAGTTCAATACTATAAATATATATAAAAGTATTGTGTATACTGTATAGAATTATTTTCTAGTTTATTAAAAAACAATTAAATCATACATGGTCCAACAGAGTTACGATATTTTTAAAAAGATTGTCATACGTTTAATTTTGAACCAATTTAAAAATTTGTCATTTTTATTCATAACTAGTATATTTTTGTTGGCAAAAATACACATTTTTTTATTAAATGTTCAATTTATGGAGTGTATTTTTTTCAGTGCACTGGTTGCTATACTATCTATACTCCTTCAAGTATGGCACGTGAAATCATTTTAATTTCTTGTGATATGTTTTTGGAATGATCTTCAAGAGTTTATAGTTAATGTAAATTTGAGCTTTTAAGTAGACCCTCTAGTAATAGGTTTGATGATTGAACTAGTTATTTCATTTTTCCACGCAATTAAATCAGGCATTCCTGGAAAATATCTAAATAATTGTCATTGTTTTCTTTTATGTATAGTATTGAAATATGTTATTCATTAATGAATTGATATCAACCATTTTAAAAATAATTAACCATCTAGCTTGGGTAACAGTCATTTCAAAATATGCCTTTAGCTGGACCCTGAATTTATTTATATCATGCCATTACTGTTCTGAGAATGTTTTCATAGGTACCTATAAAGAAAATTAAGTGCTAATTTTTTTTAAATTGATTGACGAAGCTAATCCTATAGTTTTGGTAGCGGAACATTTTTTCATTTAGCTATATTGATATGGACTTGTCCAATCTTGTTATTACTTCTCATAAAGTGGGTATGTCAAGACTTATCAAATTCTTAGTAGTAACAATTATTTGATCTAATAATTGTTCTTTAATTCTTCATACAAATATTGTATTATTATGTATAATAGTAACATGTAATGTTTACAGGTAAAAAGTTAAATTGTATGTAGGTAAACATCTAATCCTTTAGATATTTTAATAAATACAGATATATTTAATGTTGTATAATTTTTAAAAATAATTGGAAATTAGCCTTTTTTAATTCTAAGTAAATTAATTCATTATTTTATTCGTTAAAGTTGGTATCTTTGTAGATAGCCAGGTATAATCTTGCTAGTTAGTCTTTAAAGTTTGACAAGTCCCTTTGGTTACTTATAAAAAGATTTAACCTATAAAGTGATAATAACCAAATTTGCTGTGCTTGTACTTATAAGGTAAGTACAAGTCTTATAAGTCTCGAAATTTTGACACAGTTATGTTAAATTAAATTATTCTATTCGCTGTTGAACTTTTAACTCTAAACTAAATTATATTTTTTGAAATATTTTGTATAGTATTAAGTATTAACTTTAACATGTAAAAAAAGTATTGAAATAACAACAAATTATACATTTTTTTATTGTTTGTATAGCTATTAGCCTAAATATTATTAATCATTAAAAAAATATTTTTTTCAGCCGGCCGACAAACGAAAGTACATGTATGGAGGATTATCATCAGGCAGACCAGTTACACCGCCCAGAGGATCTGGTAAACAAGGAAAAAATAAAAAATAACCCATCTTGATGCAATAATTATGTCTATATCTAGGTATGCAACAACAAAGTATAATTTTAAAAATTAAATGTTATATAATATGAAAACAAATGAAATTTTTTTTTTATATAGAAAAAAATTATACCGAGTAACTAGTTTAAACAATTATGTATTTATATCATTAAGTACTTTTAAACTCCATCATAACGTTATTGTAAAATCTCAAGATCATTTTTATTAACTTGTAAATTGGAGTATTTTTAATAATTTAATATTATTATTGATATATTGTATTTGCACTTATTTTATTTTTCATACTCGGTCTTTTTTTTTCCTTTCCTTTTTTTGTTTTTAGTTTAAGTCTTAAATTATATTTTATTTTTGCTAACTTAGTTTTGTTCATGTATTTAAAACTGCATAAATTACTATGAAATAAGAAGTTGCAATTTATTCAGAATAGTTGCTCTAAATAAATTGTAACATAATAATGAAGTCAACTATATTTGTTATTTTATCGGACAATTTTAGCTCGTATATTTTATTGTATCTAAGATATATTTATAAAACTATTGTTTTATACAAATTTCAAAAATCAAAATCCCAAAGTTAAGTACAACATTAAAATTAATAATTATTGTTATTTATTGTTTTGTGTATTTAGATATTACACTTTCATTGTAAAACTATTATAACATAATATTGTATATTTTTTAGTAGAAATACGTAAATCAGAACATATAACAAATATGAAAGTGTGGAATACGATCCCGATTGGTATATTAAAACAAATCACATGCAATGTAAATATCGATATATTAATTTAAAAATTATACTGTACATGTTATGCATTAAATATATAATGCAGATACATTAAGAGTAGTAAAATGTAAAATTTATTTAATTAACGTCTTGTATTACTTTTTTGGCAATAAACAAATACCTTGCCTATATAACACTTATAGTAATTTGTTGATAGCGGATGTATTATTTTATTATATACCGAATGGAAAAATATTGTGTTTTACTTTGCTACCCTTAAAAATAAACAAAAAGTGGTGAATTAAATGATTATATAATATTAAACTATATATTTGCTACTAGTTGGAATAATATACCTGTGTGACTATGAAAAATAATATTAGTGCGTGTATATTTTATAGTTTCCATGTATGTTAACATATGCCAGATTGCATGATAATTATAATATGATTTATGACTATTATATTATTATTTGTTATGTATTTGCCTTGGTTGTATTAAGTGTTGTATTTGAAAGTTATTACAAAAGTTGACATTGGCACACAAACATTTAAATTTGAAACTATTCCCAGCGGGCTAGACATTGGTATGACGTTATTTATTGACTTTTAATGTCATAACAAAAAATGATGTTTTTAATGAATTTGAATAAAGGTACATCAAAAAAGATATCTTTCAATTTTTGTAGGTACTTGTATACGTTTGAATATTGTTGAGGCATCCTTATAATGGGTGTCTTGGTTGTCTACCCCTAATAACGGTCTTGCATTAATGATTAAATTATTATTATTTTTAATATACTTAATATTTTATACTATAACTTAGATCTAATTCTACCACGACAAATATGACTATTACAACTTGTATTGATCATAGATTTTCTACGGTCTTATTAGATTTTATCCATATAGCTGGAGTAATTACATTTTTTTTTTTTTTTTGAATTATACTAATTATTTATGATTATTGGGAAGACTGGAAGATTATAAGTTCCATAAACAGTCTCTAAAACTAAATATTTAATGAATCAATACTCATTAGTGAATTAATGGTCCCTTAAACATGATATATTTTTAATGACCCTTGTTGGTTCGTTAAATTCATCAGTTTTTCGTGTAACCCATTATCAATATAATTTTTGTAAATTTTGAGCTCATTTAACGTTTACTGAAGAGTAGAAATAATTTTGTATTAAAAAAAATGTGTAATAGTGTAGAGTGCAGCACTGCCTTTAATCTTAATTTTTCCGTGATAAAAACATTTGTTTTAAACACGACTTGCCGGGTCTAATTTCTAAAACCATGGTACGATCATAAACACAAGATAATATTTTAACACTAATATTCTGTGATTTTAATCTGTGAGCCTGTGACCTGTTGATTATAAAATATAAAATAAAATCGTACGTTTTATAATTTTGTAAGGTTATGTTAATATTATTTTTTTACACTTTGGTTTTGGTGTATCGTGTTTCAAAACAATCAAAACTCGAATGTATTTACCATTCGTTCTATTAGTTTCATTATATAATTTATTGACACACTTTTGGATCTTGTGTTAACTAACCACCTGGACCTGATATTATTGAGATTTATTTTTTCTATGGTTTTTTTTTATTATTATTATTAATTCATTATTTTATTAATTATAATTAACAAGCTGCGATAATTGTTGAAATATTATTATATGATGACCGGAATTGTCTATAGGAAATAGAAACCTATTTGTATTGTTGATTCCATGCTTCATATCTATCGGTTAGTGTTTAATTATCTTTAATTTTAAGAAATAATAATTTGTATTTTTGTCAAGCTTAAAAAATGTGCTTGAACTTTTTTCAAAATTGACTCTTCGTTTATTCAGATATATTTATTTACCTTGTATACATTTTTTTTTTCATTTAAAACATAGTTTCTATTTCACATTGAATTGTAATAATTTAAACGTGCCTTTGGAAATGGCTATTGTTAGTTGCTGATATATCATTTAAATGACAATGTGTTCTGATCAATTCAATCAATTTAGAGTATCACAGTAGTGGATTCATTTATTTTACAGGATATTTCTAAGAGCCAAGTCTCTAAATCTTACACAACTATATAAATTACAAATTACAAAAATGGTACAATTATTTGTACCTATACTATGTATATTTGCTTACTGTTTTATGGTTTGGTTACATTTTATCACAGAAATATAAAATACACTTATTATGTTTCTTACGTTAACATTATATATTACTAACTATTACATAGCATTATACCTATTCATTTTCTGTATTTTTATTGTTTTTTATTAATTTAGACTTATACTTTTTATTATAGTAAAAAATACAAGCATAGAAAAATATCGCAATATAAAATCATGAATAAAAATAAAATGGATAATGGTAAGTCTGAAAAAATCAGTGATCAACAACAAGGAACTCAAATATCTATTGAATTAGAAAGAGAAGTCACTGACTATGTCTTGAACAAAACTAAGGAAGATAATATTATTGACTCAAAAGAGTTGGTAAATGTTGAGGTTTGGAAAAAAAGATACAAAAATTTGAAGAATCAAGCTAAAGTTTTTCATAATGTTGTAAAACAATTTGACAGAGATTTAAAAAAACATAAGTTTACTCAACAACAGAGGTGTATTACTGCTTCAGGTAGTCAAAACGTTGACATTTCATGTAGGAACAAATTGGACACGTAAGACGTATACATACATAATAATATTTTTATTAATAATATATTTTTAAATAATTTGGTGGTTCTAAGCTATTTTTTAAAATTTTAATTAATTTTATTTTGATTAACATATTTAATAAATCTGTATATCCATGCATGGACGTCCTCAAACATTTTTCTATGGAGGGGGGTTGTAAAATAAATTTCATAGTACATTATTAAGTTTTGTTATTACATTAAATTATTATAAATTTAATATTTTAGTGGGGGGAGGGGGGCAAGTGCTCTTGAAGGGTCTTGCTCTCCTTGAGGATGCCCATGTATTCATATAGCTATTAACATAAAACTGGTATGAGACACCTTTTAGTAAATTTTATTTTAAAAAATAAATCATTTAATACTAATAAATCAAAATATATCATGGTTACTAAGTAGTAATATTAATTAACTATTGTTTAGGGCTATTCTCCATGGGAATTCTAATAAGGAAATTGAAATATTTACAATATCATCAGATAATGAAGATGAACCTATCATTACAACTGATTTATCAAAAATCAAACTTATACTAACAAAAAATGATAATATTAATTTGATTGATTCAGAATCAGATAATAATTCCAAAAATTTGAATGTTAAATATAAGCCATGTCCAAAATCAAAAAAAAATGTTTCTATGCATTATGTCAAAGTTAATGGTACCAATAAAGTAATGCCATTGAATACTGAATTAGGCAAATGTAAAAAAAATGTAAAACGCTTATCTACAACTATGTGTAGTAAACGAAAACCTGGGCCAAAATCAAAGACAATGTTTGTTGATGATATGATTCCTTTTAATTCTAAAAATAAAGAACATGTTGAAAAAAAAAATTGTTTAAACAAACTTATTAGTGACAAAAAATCAAAAACAAAAAATTTATCAAATAGTTATTTAGAAAAGAAATTAAAAATTACTAAAAAGCATGATTTTCATTTTGAGTTTTCAAGTTCAAAATATCCACCTCCTTATCCCTTAATACCGCCATATATTACACAACCGTCATGGAAAAATGTGCCACCAGCACCTAATATGAAAATCAAAACTTCTGGAAATAAAGTGACATTAACTTGGGATTTAGATTTGTCTTGGCAGATAGCTAAAATCAAGATGTATGAAATATTTGTATGCCAAGAAACAGATGCACATCCAGATATCTCTATGTGGAAAAAAAAGGGTAATATAAAATCAGATATGTTACCTATGGCATGTGAACTAGAAATATTTGAGTTAGGATATGTTTATCATTTTGCTCTGAGAGCGGTTGATGTTCACAATAGACGTGCTCCTTTTGCTGTACATAAAACTAAGATTTAGATTAATAATTTATGCTAAGCATGTTCTATAAACCATTTATTATAGTAAGAAGTTATTAGACACTATGTAAGTTAAATATATGAAATAATATTTTTGAAATTTATAATTAATTTTATTTTCTTAGTAATAGATATTATAATGTCTAGAATATTTTTTTTAATTATTAAATATAACATTTTTATTAAATAAGTTCAATTGTAAACTATTTTCTATTGATATCTATTATTTTTACCTTGACATCAGGGCAAGGAATTATTTTATTATAATATTCGAGTGATATTATTTGTGCTTATAATAATTTATATTTGATTATTGCAGCTATATTTGATTTAATACTGTATACAATTAAAGTATTTGTTTAGATATTAATAGTTTTTCAAAATGTACTCGTTTATTTACTAATACCCATATACTTAGTATCGAACAGCTTGCAACAAAATAAATATCTAAAAAGAGGTTTAGACGAGTGACGGCTATCTTTTTTAAAAAGGAAATGTGTGAAGGGACCTGTGTCTTAGGAATAAAATCTGATTAAGTAGGTATACCATCAGTTGATTTAGTTAGATATTCATCTTAAATTATAAGTAAAAAGAATCCCACAGATCTATGCTCTATCATTCAAAAGCTTAGTTCTTGTCTTAGGCTATTTCAATTTTGATTTTTTATTATTTTTTCTTTTATTTGTACGTTATTACATTGATTTACACATTTGTTTGTTCTGATTAAAGTAATCGAACATAGAGTTAAAATATACAAATAACAGTAATTAATAATAATTATCAGCAGGTCAGTTTTTCAAACATAAGGCGCACTCACACAGAAAAATAAATATTAAGTAAAAATAAAGACATAGAACATCGGTTGATGTCCGGAACACATTTGGATGTATAATCCTGGAAAGTAATCTCACGAATTGTAGAATTCCGGGATTGAAATAGACGAATTGTATTTTCATATACAGTAGAAATCTGAACAGTGAAGTCCCGGACCTTTGAAATCTGGAAAAAATAAACACACAACTGTAAGTCGTTATGAACCGTAAAAATCAGGAAACTAATCGTTAGGTCCTGGAAAAATTTATAAGCCATAGAAATTAAGATTAGTAATAAGCATAATCTATTGATTGTATTATATTGTACATATATGTCATATATGTACAATTAATTTATATACATAAATAATTTTCAATTTATGTTTTTTTCGTATTTGATGCTTTTAGGAGTAGTTAAAATGTTTCAAACATCAACTTTGTTGATGGTTATAAATTGAATCTAATTGGTATGTTGGTGATTTTTTTTGTGTTTGTGTAAGATAAAAATTAACATAGAAAATAATATTGTCTCTACTCAGTTTAAAAAAGTTAATCTATTTTTATTAATCAGTATGTGGATCATATAAAGAGTAACTGTGTTCTTTCTAATTCTCTAAATTTTAATAAATAAATTTATTAAATTTATTAAATTTTTATCATAATGTACATTGTACTGTATATACACCTATATTTTACTTTACATTATTAGGTATTAAATATTTAAACAATTCACATCACATTTAATAATTTAACAAATATTATTTTTTTTTTATCAAATAGAAATTTAAGGTCATATGATATAAAATGTCTATCTAATTTATTTCTATTCTTTTATTTAATTGACATGGTCTTTAGAAACACATATACATATCTATTTGAACAAATCATTTAGTTTCCCTCCTAATACTAATAATAACTAGTAATAAAGATAATTGGATCTGATTATTTTTCCTTCTCAATTCTCAGTCAATCACATATCGTTGTCGTTACTTGTTCAATAATAAATTTATAACATCGTTTGTGTTTTGTGTCATTGTGTGATATTTTAACATACTGTATTTATTTAAATTAATTAATCAGTAGGTATGTCAGAAATGTAATTTATTATCAGTGAACGTGGACTTTCATTACCTATTGGCTACCTACCTAATTGTGTATTAGTATGTAAAATGTATAAATATTATTTTAAACGTGTATTCAATATTGATAGAAACTAGCGAAAATAATTGGCGTTGTTGTATTAAGAAATGTTCTACACATTATTATGCAATCAAAAAATAATCAATATGACAAAATCAATAACAATAATTTCAATAAAACTAGCATTACCTACGATGAATTTTTCTAAACATAAAGTATGAATAAAGAAATATAAATGCAATTAAAAATGTTTACATTTTCGGAGGATAACTAGAACTGCCCCACGTGATTCCTCTGGAATACCTATGCTAATTGGTTCTAATATTTTTCGTAAAATGTTTTTAGAGGAATTAACATAATAATATAATATACCAAGACACCAAGTGTAATGCGATAGAAAAAATGTTTTTAGAGGAATTTACGCGAGTGTATAACGGCAGCATTGCAGCAAAAAGTTTTTAGGGGAATTTACTATTATGTGAATTTATATTTGCTCTGTTATATATATATGTATATTTATTATATAGGTATATCAATATTATATTAAATAGGAGTGTTATGTGTTTTGGGGATTTATCTTAAATAAAAAGTATTCGACCAATATGCATACACTATATTAGAGGAAGTATAGTACATAGAAAATACACATTTGGTAAAAATATGTTGAATGTGTGGGTATGATCGTGTGGAGATATACGTCTTAAGATTATATTATAATATATTTATAGAAGATTAAAATAGCTCATATATTATTTGATGAAAAGTTTTATTAGATAATCAATAATATATAAAAACAAGTGGAGTCAAGCATATAAAGTGAGATTTAACTTTTAGAAAATATAAAAAGTTAAGAAATAAAATTAGTTTAAATTACCTTGTTTACTTATACCAGAACTAATTTTATTTAAATAATTTAATATCAAAAGTATGTTTTGTATGAATTAATGAATTATTATTAAGTAATTAACTGTAGTTAATACTAACTACTTATCTAAAAATGTATACAAAAAAAATCATTGTTTATTGTTCCGTAATCCATAAAATAAAATATGTAATTATAATTTTACAGTTAAAATATTGATAATTATTTTTTTATTTCATTAAGATAAACGCCAAAATTGGCTTATATACAAATAATATTTATAAAATAACAAAATAGCAAATATTATTAATTACATTTCGTAAGATAATAATGGGTAGGTTTTATTTTTTTCAATTTTAGATTTTATTTTAAAAAACTTACCATCTAAAATGGACATAGCTGAATCCGTCATTTCAGACACTTCAGTATTATCCTCAGACGACTGTTGTGTTGAAATTATTGAATCTTCATTATGTACATTCAAGGAATTCATATTAAAATTAATTGATATTTTAAATTAAATTAAACACCACTGTCACACGTTCATACGTACTACGTAGGTACTCACTACTCGGCACTTGGACATAGAAAAACTAACGCGACAATACGACACAAGTAATCATAAGATTATCTTCAAACTGCATGTAGTAGAAAGTACGAGGTACATTTGACAAAACCCCATTTTCTATGTTTAGATATCATATATTATAATCAAACTGATAACTTTTATAACTACAACCTACAGAGTACAAGCCTACATCGACCTTATTTTAGTTTCGAATAAAATGTTATCTAAATAATCATCTAGATAAAATTTCATTCGAATAACGCCCAACTCTGCAGTATATAGTATGATATGTTATATACGATAATAGCAATATCTAAAAAAAATGATTTTATTATGAACTATGTTTAATCAAATTAAATAACCAAGAATTATTCGTATAACCGTCTTTAAAATTTATTCGAATAATAATAGTTGAAAATTATTCGAATAGTTTTTTATTCGAATAATCATAGTTGAAAATTATTCGAATAGTTTTTTATTCGAATAATCATAGTTGAAAATTATTCGAATACATTTTTATTCGAATAATCATAGTTGAAAATTATTCGAATAGTTTTTTATTCGAATACAGATTTATTCGAATGATTATCTAGATAAAATTTTGCCCAACTCTGGTAATTAATAACAAACGAAATATAGATCTTAACATTGGAAATATAATACATTTATCTAAATATAAACGGCTCATTAAAATAGTTATTCCTATTAGCAATAGTACCTTAGCTCAAAAACAATACATTATTTTATATCGTACCTAATAAATTTTAAAGTACATTACCTAAAGTTTCTATTGTTAATTTTTCCTCACGCATTGTTATTAGCTCGGCTTTCATCAGTGTAGGTATAATTGTTTTTTAGCTGGGAGTTCTCAATTTTTTCAACTTGCTCCTCGAGTATACTTTGGCAGTGCCGTACTTAGATATTTTATGCCCTTGTACAAAAATAAAATTTGCGCCCCCTCAAGGAGCTTATCCACGGAAAATAAGGGAGATAGATCTTCATGAACCTTTAAGATTTTGAGCAAAGAAGAATAATGAGTGCTTTTTAAAAAAAAAAATATTGCTTAATAATTGTATGATCCCCTCCTTCTCTACAAAGATATATTTGAATGTATGTCACATTGTCATTTGAACCCTGCTTATAATCCATTATATAAGTTGTTTTTGGTGTTTTAACAAAGTTTGTTTACGATTTTGATATCGGCTTAAATTATTTTTCCTGTAATAATTTAATAATATAATACGTAATCACATTGGAATCATTTACAAGTAAGTACAGTGGTTCAAATTTGTTGATTGTCAATCAACCCTTAAAATATCCAAATTTTTGTACTACACACAGAGTTCCTATTCGGACAAATCTAAATTAAACTTCAATACTCTAAAAACTAGGGCCAATGTTTATGGATTTATTTAGCTAAATTACTAAAATACGTATAATATAAATTAAATAGCAATAATTAATGCTGGGCTGTCGTTAGGGGAGCCAAAACGGGACATTTGTTTAGGGCCTCGTGCTTAAAATATACACAAAAAATAAGAAGAAGTATCTCCAATGCATGGGAGGGAGTTCTCTTCACTTCGTCATTCCTACGATTAATTGATATATGTATATTATAAATTAAGCTATTAAGCTAACAGTTATTTTTTTTGTAACAGATTGCTGAATATAGAATTACGCTAAAAAAA